TACTGGGGGAGGGGGATGAGCCAGCAGCCAGCGTCTTATTGAATGTGGTTTAAATTGAATGTAATATAAGTCTTTAATAAAGACATGAATGAAAATCATTGAACAAGAAAACGAAGTTAAAGTTAATTTTAGCTTCCCTCATCATTTTAAATTATTGTTTCCCAGAATGAGAGCTATCAAACCAGTAAGGCTTTCCTGATGTTTCCAAATGTGTTTGGAAACAATGACAAACAATAAAGACAACGTTTTGTAATCCTAGAGGCAACAAAGAAGAAAAATTATTTCAGCAACATATGGTAGAAATAGATTTTTTTTGACACAGAAGGAAAAATAAATGATTGACAATAGATTCAATTTATGAACATATGCATGGAAAATATGTGATAACTCAGTAATTAAATTGTAGACAATAGTAAGTTCCCAAGTGTACGGTGGCATATAATGTTATCAACAGCTTGGTGAAATCATTCAGCTTGACACATCATTCAGAATATGAGAAAATAGGTAAGGATAAATTAATTTTTTCAAGCTGCATAAACAGAGGATAAGGAGCAAAATAAGATAATATAATTATTCAACAATTACTGATAATTTTCATTTTTAATTAACAGTTTAGCTACCTGTTCTTTCTAAGAATGATATATCAATGAAGAAGAATATCAAAATAGCATTTTTTTTCTGGTTATCTATAATGGCAGAATACTGAAAAATTGAAATATGAAAAATGGAATGATTGGAAAATTAATTTGTTTAATTAGCCAAGATTACTCAAAGGAGCCTTCATAGTGGATCCAAACTGGCTTTACCTATTGATTCTACCATTTATTATAAGAAAAAACTAAAAACAAGTTAATTAAATATTTCTGAACTCCATATATAATTTTCTCATCTTAATATGGAGATATTATTAAATACAAACATAGGGTTATTATGAAAACTAAAATGTCACATATTGAAACCTTTGTTATGTATTAGTTGCTCAGTAATTGTTAATCCCATCTTTCTCCACTTTTACATATACAAATAACCCAATGCAATAATTTGCAATAAGATTTACTGTGAGAAATAAAACATTTGTTTAACAGTCTATCCAGTCTAGGCTAGTTTCTATGTTTAATTACAATAATAACTAAACTTTGGAGAGATTCTACAAATGGGTTTTTTTAAGTTGGAATGCTGGAAAAAAGTCAAATTAATTTATAAAAATCTCAGTTACAATATCACAATGTATGGTGACATATGCAAAGTTATCAGTACATTTTGAAACACACATTTATTCTATTTATGTTATAATTGTGTTCATATTTTTCCGGGAACCTAACATCATCATTAGAAATTATATTTAATCTCCACATAAATAGCCTTCTTAGCTTTCACACATCTACCTAACCAGATGATAGCCTTTTGATGTATACAAACTAGAGATTTTCTGCATTAATAACTTCTCATATACAAATATTTTTGGCTTAAATAATTTTGCTTTATTACAAATCCCTTTAAACTTTATTAACGTTTCTTGATGTGTAGAAATCGTCTTTCTTCATATTAGTCAATGGAAACTGCTCCTTGATGTATGCCAGAACACAACATATATTTCTATTGACTGAGTTTCTTCATCACAGTAATTCATACTGACTTTGTTTACTTTCTCTCTTATTTGCCAACTCCAAGCTCATCATCAAACCTGATGGCTGTATTTTTGAAATACATACAGAAGAACCTTACCATTTTCACCACCATGTTATTAAATGGCAGCAGTAAATGGCCCCAACTTTTGGAAACATTCTTTTGATTCTCTAGTTCTCTCTCTAATTGATAAAATGAGGTAATGTATGCAATTACATTTCTTTTGCTTTTAACATAATCATAAAAAAGGAAATTCAACAATATTGATGGGAGGAAACAAAGTAAGCAAGTACAATTAGTAATTAGTTCTATGGAATAGTCTAATTCATCAATATGAAATGTAACACCTAATATAGGTCATATCATGTCATTCTTCAGTCAAACCACTAGTTACTGTGAATATTAAAAAGTATATCTTTTAAATTTCAATTAACACAGCTGGGCCTCACTTTCCTTTTAGTGAAGAAAAGAAAAATGAGTTGTTTTTTTAAAAAAATTTCCTTCATAAGCCACTGTTCTATAACTCCATGTATTTGGGATGCTTCAGGTTAAATATAACGTTTATTAGACTTAAACATGGAACGATTTTATGTTTTAATAATACCAGAAGCAGAATGATAAAAAACTTTTACAACCAGATTTCACCCTTTATTTTATGGAAGACATAGGGGGGAGACCAAAACATTGACTCCCCTGTTCAAATAAGCATGGATTTTTAAATATAATGAGTATGTGCTCCCAAAAAATCAAGCTCCAAGTCTGGAGTCTATATGTGAGTCTGTATGCTATTCAACCTTATGAATGGAACTCTTATCATGTCAACATGGTGATGTATACTAATCCAAAATGAACACTGATATATTATATGTGAGGAAATCACTGTGTATAAATATATTTTTATGTTTATGTATAACAGAGAACAGAGCATTAAAGAAAATATAAACATCATAATGTTCTCATTTGCATAAATTCAAAGTACTTATAGAGTAGTATTTCCCAAGTCTTGAGACTCTGTCCACTTTGGATTGGAATCATTTTGCAGCTGAAGCCCCTTTGTCAGCTGCTGTTGAAACACACAGTGTCAATAATTCTCCTTTAAAATTGTCTCGTTAAATATGCATATTCTTGCACCATTTTTTTTCTATTTGCATTTAATTAAATCATATATTCAGGTAAAATCCCCTATGCCAGTAATCTGAAGGTTTTCACCTTTGTATTTTCCTTAGTATATATGGGGAGATATGAGATTTGCAAAAGTAATGCTGTTGCTTACAGAAAATATATCTCATTCCTGATTCTCTCAAGGGTTTGAAATTCATTCTGACATGCAAATCCCTGAGGTTAAAATCCTATTTAAAGTTCACATTTGAGTTTATAATGGTTCTGCTTCTGTGCTGATTTATATTTCTTAAGAATGCAAAATAAAAAGAACACATAACCTTTTACATCTAAAACAGATGACATAATGTTTGTAATTAATAAGCATCACACCATGGGTAAATAGTATTCTGCATGACAATTTTATAGCATCATTAATATCAGTACTAAATGTCAAAGTACCCAAATGTCAAAGCATTTTCTTTAACTTACAAATACTGTTCTTATAACAAATGGTGTAGCACCTGTGACTTGATAATAAAGTCATCCTGGGATTTGGGAAAGAATTCACAGGCACATGATTGAAGGAGTTGAATCATCAGCCTAACTTATATGGGACCTCCCCTACAGTGTGTTTGAAAAAGTTGTATTTTCAGCTGAGCCAGTAATGTCAGCTTAGGATCAATTAGGATATTGTGATGTTTAAACATTTATTTTGTTGGTCAGAGAGAAAACTGATCTAACAATTTGCTGAATATGGATTCAAATAATATTGCCAAGCTATGAAAGTTGTAACTAATAGTTTTGCTGAATGAGTGCTCAAGTGGAGAAGAGGCACAGTTAATTAATCTATGTTTAGTATTTAATTGTTATACATTATTTCACTTCATTTCGATAACTGAAACTTAATTGCATAAATGAATGTCTCTTTGTACATTCTCTAATGTAAGCTATTCTTTTCAAATATTCCTGCCAAAGGGAAACATTAGTATTGTCCATGTCACCCACACTTTCCTCAATCTCAGTAATTGTTCTGCCACCTCCCTCTTCACAAATAGTCTCTCTTTTGAAGATCTTTCATGACATGACAACCTGTAGCATCACAAGGAATTTTATAGCCTTCTTTCCTTCTCTCCTTCTCTCCCTTCCTTCCTTCCTTCCTTCCTTCCTTCCTTCCTTCCTTCCTTCCTTCCTTCCTTCCTTCCTTCTCTCCTTCCTTCCTTCCTTCCTTCCTTCCTTCCTTCCTTCCTTCCTTCCTTCCTTCCTTCCTTCCTTCCATCTGCCCTTACAATGATTTTGAATTATTATTGTGTGCTAGGCACAGGGCCAAATACTACTAATAATAAAGGATTGACCGATACACAGCTTCTGTTTTCAAGATTTTAGCCTTCACCCTATTCCTTGTCACTATTCTTGGAAGATCTGTCATTCACTTCTAAGTGTCTTCTGTAATCCTGGCTCCCACCTTCCTTGATCACTTCAAGACTAATCACTTCTCTTGACATTTCATTCCACTTTTATTTCTCATTTCCACTATCCACATCCTTCTTTAGAATATCACCTTTTGTTTAATTCTTCAAAGTTCACCTAAGTTACTCCCTCTCCATAAAAAGTGGTTGAATTTCAACTCTTAAACCCTATGGTATTTTCTCTCTGTTTTATTTTTAAAAAAATGCATACCTGAATCAAATAATCATTAAATGCCTACTCTGTACCAGGACAATATTTACTTTAATATTAACATGTATGCTCATTGTGTACTTATCATATGCAGATTTACCTAAATGCCCTTTAAATCTGCATTTCTGCCTTACAGACATTCTTGCTAACTATTTAATTAATATTTCTTGAAATAAATCTATCTCGCTTAAAACAATCCCAATGGTTTTATCGGTAACACCACCTCATTACGTTTGTTAATATGCCCGGAATAGTCCAAATTACTCTAAAACAAGATTTTGTCACTTGCATCAAGCAAAATAGATAACTAGGTGCTCAATAAAAGAATCAATGTTATCATTGTCGAGTAAACCTTGCATTCATATAGTGAAATGGATATAACATCTACTGGTACATTTACCATAATAATGTATAGTCACCAGGAAAGGCAGCATTATAATGTTGGGAAAGAATTATATTTGATTTTTAAATTTCTGCTGTCAGACGTCCCAGATCAATGAACATTGGCTACGGCAGAGTGCTAACGCCCTGAGTAACCTTTGTCCCTCACACGATTCTGTAGAACTTCCCAGTCTGTGACAACAGTTTAAAGAAACTTCTTCTCCTTCTCCTTCTCCTTCTCCTTCTCCTTCTCCTTCTCCTTCTCCTTCTCCTTCTCCTTCTCCTTCTCCTTCTCCTTCTCCTTCTCCTTCTCCTTCTCCTTCTCCTTCTCCTTCTCCTTCTCCTTCTCCTTCTCCTTCTCCTTCTCCTTCTCCTTCTCCTTCTCCTTCTCCTCCTTCTCCTCCTCCTCCTCCTCCTCCTCCTCCTCCTCCTCCTCCTCCTCCTCCTCCTTCTCCTCCTCCTCCTCCTCCTCCTCCTCCTCCTCCTCCTCCTCCTCCTCCTCCTTCTCTTCCCTTCCCTTCCCTTCCCTTCCCTTCCCTTCCCTCCTCTCCTCTCCTCAGCCCTCCTTGGTGATGACTTGTACATTATCACTCCTGAAAATTACAAGTCTCTTTTCCTTTGTTCATCAAAGTAGATATAATAAAATACTCACAAAGAAAATTAATGAAAATCATTTTAAAAGTATATTCCCAAGTCAGGAAATAGCTGCTGTCAAAGTTCAGAAACTAGGTACTCATAAATTGCTACTTCAATTAGACATAATCCATAAAAAATTGACAATCTAAAGAACTGTACTTTCCTTCTAAAAGTAATAGGAAATAGGTTGCTTCTGATAAAACAAAAAAATTCATTCCTAAGCTAAGAAAGAAGCATAAAGAAAATACTAGGGCTGCTCTAGGGCTTTTGCTATGGTATATGCGTTATGCTATTTATATGCAAGTTTATTTTTTCATATTTAAAATTATTGCTGTTCACATGTTACAAGTTAAGTAGGCTAATTTTTTCTCTATACATTTACATTTCATTTTCTTATATAGTGAGTTATTAAACCATTTGTCCATGGCTATACAACAAAAAGATTATACATTTGACATGTATTTTAAAGCAACTAGATCCAGGTTTTGAACATGGACTGTCACAGGAAAAATTAAGCTAGTCTTACCAAGTATTCCTGGTGGGCAGAGGACCAAAACTCTCTGCTCGGTCTGATTCCTTTGGCTAGAATCCCAGATACTGCTTTTTATTTTTTTTGTGTGTGAAAACAATGAGGCTTTGAGAAAACAGTTGAAGAAGTAGAAGATAAAAATCTGCATAAACCTTTGGCATGTGATGTAGCCGACTAGAGAGGCAGAATGTTAGTCCCTAACTAGATATGAAAATAAAATAATAGGCTTCTGTTGACTTATCTCATAGTATAGAATTGTTCAAATGAGAAAGTATAGCTTGGGTTATAAGCAACTGACTATTATTGTCTACTACTAAATAATAAACAAATGTGGTAATGTCTAGGTATAAGAGGTTTTAAAAACCCCTGAAAATATAACAATAATAGAATATGAGCACACGTTAGGTTTTTTAAAAGTTCAAGCTTAATGGAAGCTTTTCATTTTTAATGTTCTTTGAACTCATTCTGCCAATGTGATAGAAAGAATAGATGTAAATTTAAATCAAACAATTGCTTTTAAAACAGCTTGAACTAATAAGACTTGAAGGTTTTGCTCGTCAATGAAGAGAGCTTAGAAAGAGTGTGTTGCCACTCTTATAATCACAACAAAGTAGCAATATAATCTGCAAGCCCACAGGTTTTCTTGAGCCCACTAGAGCTAAGGCAACTAGCGTGCAATCAGAGACAGCAGCCTGAAGAGAGATACAGGGTGTGAGCATTTTCTTACTTGGGACTGAAATGGTCAGTCTGCACCCAGTAAGGAAAATTCAGCAAGAATAATAGCTCACAAGTTGATGGACAATGATTGTGGGCTAGGGGAAGACGATGGAGACTGAGGGCTGCAAGTACAAATTATCTTTTTTTTTTTTTTGCAAGCTTTATTTGCCGTAAATCTCCCTTGGCAAGATTCCTTAAGAAAGTCCCTTCATGGTGCTTGGATTAAGAGAACAGCAGCTGCTGGGGAAGGGAAGCTAAATTATGTCTAAACCATTCTCCTTTATCTTCCTATTGCTGAGAAAAGTTTTTCATGAATCTCTGTGTTTCTACACATCTTGCAAGTAGAGGCACAGATAACAAATATCCTTTCGTTCTGGACTGCTTTCCAATAAAATCTATAGTGAACAGCCTTAGAAGATACAGTGTCTCCCTCAGGAGTGGAAGCCGAGGATCCTATTGTGGCAAAGATTAGAATGTTTGCTTGCAGAACCTCATCCTAACATATAAAAAGCCATGGGCTGTCATGACCAAAATAACAGTATGGATGACCCAACAGCAGGCTGCGTGGAGTGACCAGGCCAGCAGGGGGGTTAGTGAGGGATGACCAAATGACTGAACAGCAGGCTGTGGGGCAACCAGGCCAGCAGGGGGGCAGTTGGGGGCAACCAGGCTGGCAGGGGGGCAGCTGAGGGTGACCAGGCTAGCGGGGGAGCAGTTGGGGGTGATCAGGCAGGCAGACAGGTGAGCAGTTAGGAGCCAGCAGTCCCAGATTGTGAGAGGGATGTCTGACTGCTGGTTTAGGGCTGATCTCAGGGACATCCTCCAAGGGGTCCAGAATTGGAGAGAGTGCAGGCTGCACTGAGGGGCCCCCCCCCCCACCGTGCACGAATTTCATGCACCGGGCCTCTAGTATAACTATAGATTCCTAGGTTTCAAGTTCCTTACCTGTGACACTAGCCTAATACTGTGTTGTCCCTTGGGACTGGGGAGTGAGGTTGAGGGGAGGGGAGTGAAGCAAAGGGAGCCAATGTGAATCTGAAGGTCATGCTGCTTGCTCTTTTGTGAGTAAAGCAGCCTCTGTCTTTGACCCAGGGTTTTCACATTTCCTGCCAGCATCCAGGAAAGGAGGTGATGTAATCTGGTAGTTTTAGGTAGGGCACAATGTCAGATTTTTCAGTTTTTGATGCATCTCCCAGAAACAAAATCAGTAATCGATAGAGCAAAGGAGACATACCTTGTTTCCCTAAGGAGTCTGCTAAAACCTTATCACAGCTGAGTGAAGTAAATGAAAGAAACTTTTAGTCCTGAAGGCAGACCAGGAATATATGTTGGCCTAGAACTTTAGCTGAGGAGACTCAGGGCTGCTGAGAAGGCCACCATCCTGACACCTAGGATTATAGTGCCTGTGGAAGTCTGAGTCTTAATCAAAACAGCAGAGAATCATCCCCTGTCTAAGCTAACAAGCACCAAAGCACAGGTGAGCACACAATACTGCCAGGAGAGTTGAAGTGCATGAACAAATCTCCCTGACACACAGGACAAGGCAAAGACTTACAGCTGGCGATGGAGATGATTGAGAAAACCTGGCAAATGTACCCATACTCTGTGTTAATGCTAAACAGAGGAACTTAAAGCCTGGGCTGACCCGAGGATAACAATAGTAGCCATAAACCTAAAACCCAGCAAACCCAACCACATTTCCCACTAGATGAATCCCAACCTTCACACTTAAGATTTGATGGAGGAATGATGTGCCCTTTTTAAAGCATGAAATCTATTCACCTTAGGCTCTTTTTCCCCCCACACAAGATGTCCAGCTTTAAAAAACAAACAGACAAAACATATTCAAAAGCAAGAAAACACACTTTCAAGAAACAAAGTACTCAGCACAACAACTTATATATGAAACACATTTTGGAACTAACAGGGAATTTTAAATATCTGTGATTAACATGTTAAAGTCTCAAATAGAAATGGCAGATAAGAAATGAAGATAAGATGAATAATTTAGGCAGAGAAATGAAAACTTTAAGGATAATCCTAACAAATGCAAAAGATAAAAACCACAGAAACAGAGGTAAAGAGAGCCTTCAATGACTCTGTCGTTGGTTTGATCTAGCCTAGAAAAGAATCAGTCAATTGTAAGAAAGATCCCAGAAGGATAAGAGAGGGAGAAAGAGGCAGAGATATTTGAATTGTAGTAGTTAAATATTTGCCAAAATTAATAACAGAGAATTCTCACAAATCAAATAAGCTCAAGAACACCAAGAAAGATGATCAGTAACAACAAAATATATGTAGGCATGTCATATTCATTGTGCTTTAAAGAAAAGACTAATAAAATATTGAAGGTGCGCCAGGCCAGTGTGGCTCAGTGATTGAGTGTCGACCTATGAACCAGGAAGTCACAGTTCAATTCCCAGTCAGGTCACATGCCTGGGTTGTGGGCTTGATCCACAGTAGGGGGCATCTCTCATCATTGATGCTTATATCTCTATCTTCTTCTCAATGAAAATATACTTAAAAAAAAAAAAAAGTGAAGGTGCACAGGGAAAAAAAAAATCTCACATGGCAAATAGCCAAACAAAGATCCTATGTAATAAAAGGCTAATATGCAAATCCACCGAACAGTGGAATGACTGGTCGCTATGACCCACACTGACCGCCAGGGGGCAGATGCTCAACGCAGGAGCTGCCCCCTAGTGGTCAGTGTGCTCCCACAGGAGGAGCGCCACTCAGTCAGAAGCCTGGCTCATGGCTGGCAAGTGCATCGGCAGTGGCGGGAGCCTTTCCCGCTTCTGCAGCACTGCTAAGCCATCAGTCGAACATCCCCCGAGGGCTCCCGGACTGTGAGAGGGTGCAGGCCAGGCTGAGGGCCCCCCTGAGTGCACAAATTTCGTGCACTGGGCCTCTAGTAATAATGGTAAATGTACTTCTCATCAAAATACATGCAAGTCATGAACTGTGGCATGATGTATTTAAATTGCTGGGGGGTGGGGGGGTGTGCAAAAACAAAACAAAACAAAACCTGTCAGCTCAGAATATCCAGCAAAAAAACCTCAAAATGTAAGGAGAAATTCATACTGTCCTGTACCAACAAAATTTGAGAGAACTCATTGCTAGCAAGTATCTACTACAAGAATGTTTATAGAAAAGTTTTTCATGAAAAGACAATATGAAACCAAAACAGAAACTTCGATCAATGTGAAGAGATTAAAACACTGGAAATAAAGATAATTTTAAAAATTTAAATCACTCTTAAAGGTCAGTGACTTTTACAAAATCATTACAAATTTATTGTAAGCTTGTAGCATTTGTGAAAGTGAAAATATATGATAAAAATGGCATAACACATGGGAGGTAGGAATTAGGAATGTAGTGTTGTCTTTATGGAATATACAGTATATAGTCTTTATACTCCATGTCAAAGGGTATGATATTTTAAGATAAACATTGATTAAATGAAAACACATATTCTAAATGCTCAGCCAATTAGAATTGAAAATATTTCTTAAAAAAAA